CCATCACACCCAACCCCATCAAACCCAACCCCATCACACCCAGCCCCATCACACCCAACCCCATCACACCCAACCCCATCACACCCAGCCCCATCACACCCAATCCCATCACACCCAGCCCCATCACACCCAACCCCATCACACCCAGCCCCATCACACCCAACCCCATCACACCCAACCCCATCACACCCAACCCCATCAAACCCAACCCCATCACACCCAGCCCCATCACACCCAACCCCATCACACCCAGCCCCATCACACCCAACCCCATCACACCCAGCCCCATCACACCCAACCCCATCACACCCAACCCCATCACACCCAACCCCATCAAACCCAACCCCATCACACCCAACCCCATCACACCCAACCCCATCACACCAAGCCCCATCACACCCAACCCCATCACACCCAGCCCCATCACACCCAACCCCATCACACCCAACCCCATCACACCCAGCCCCATCACACCCAACCCCTTCACACCCAACCCCATCACACCCAACCCCATCACACCCAGCCCCATCACACCCAACCCCATCACACCCAACCCCATCACACCCAACCCCATTACACCCAACCCCATCACACCCAACCCCATCACACCCAGCCCCATCACACCCAACCCCATCACACCCAACCCCATCACACCCAACCCCATCACACCCAACCCCATCACACCCAATCCCATCACACCCAGCCGCATCACACCCAACCCCATCACACCCAACCCCATTACACCCAACCCCATCACACCCAGCCCCATCACACCCAACCCCATCACACCCAACCCCATCACACCCAACCCCATCACACCCAACCCCATCACACCCAACCCCATCACACCCAACCCCATCACACCCAATCCCATCAAACCCAACCCCATCACACCCAACCCCATCACACCCAACCCCATCACACCCAATCCCATCACACCCAGCCCCATCACACCCAACCCCATCACACCCAGCCCCATCACACCCAACCCCATTACACCCAACCCCATCACACCCAACCCCATCACACCCAACCCCATCACACCCAATCCCATCACACCCAGCCCCATCACACCCAGCCCCATCACACCCAACCCCATCACACCCAACCCCATCACACCCAATCCCATCACACCCAACCCCATCACACCCAACCCCATTACACCCAACCCCATCACACCCAGCCCCATCACACCCAACCCCATCACACCCAGCCCCATCACACCCAACCCCATCACACCCAACCCCATCACACCCAACCCCATCACACCCAATCCCATCACACCCAGCCCCATCACACCCAACCCCATCACACCCAGCCCCATCACACCCAACCCCATTACACCCAGCCTCATCAAACCCAACCCCATCACACCCAACCCTATCACACCCAACCCCATCACACCCAACCCCATCACACCCAATCCCATCACACCCAGCCCCATCACACCCAACCCCATCACACCCAGCCCCATCACACCCAGCCCCATCACACCCAACCCCATTACACCCAACCCCATCACACCCAACCCCATCACACCCAACCCCATCACACCCAATCCCATCACACCCAGCCCCATCACACCCAACCCCATTACACCCAACCCCATCACACCCAACCCCATCACACCCAACCCCATCACACCCAATCCCATCACACCCAGCCCCATCACACCCAACCCCATCACACCCAGCCTCATCAAACCCAACCCCATCACACCCAACCCCATCACACCCAACCCCATCACACCCAGCCCCATCACACCCAACCCCATTACACCCAGCCTCATCAAACCCAACCCCATCAAACCCAACCCCATCACACCCAGCCTCATCAAACCCAACCCCACACACACAACCTCAAGCCACTATCCATTAAGTGTCTATCAGCTGAAGAGGCCTGGGGAACGAAACTACAGCCACCCAATCCCTCTCAGTGGGTCCAGTAGGCTCCCTCATCAAGTCCCAACACACACACACAAAGTGGAGACATATGCAAATAAAAATGTTACTCAAATACACACAGCTTGAAAAGACAAACCACCACTGACATGTTTCATAAGCCGTTATACACACACACACACACACACACACACACACACACACACCCTCCTCACCACAGCACCGTCACATCCAGCTCCATCATATTAAGCGCTGTGATTGCTTGTCATGCAGAGGCTCCTTTCCCTCCACCCCTCTACGCTCACGCCTGCCACCAAAATTGGCTCTAAAGCCACATGTCACTTTTGATTTGATCTGGCAGACCCTGAAACAATAACTTCATCAAGGCTTGTTAGAGTCTCATTCTGACCAGACAGACACAAAAACAAACAATGATTTCCCTTCATCCCGCCTAGAGGGCACCTTTCTTCTACTTCTTGTTTGGTTCATTTGCACCATCTCGGCCCCGTCTGGAATGGAAACCTTCATGGACACCACAGTCCTCCTAACTGTCTGCTTGTTTTTAAAAAGATCCGAAGCAAAAGCATTAAACAGATGTTTGGAGTCTACATCTTTGTGCTGCATGACTAATGCACCACATTCAGAGACTACTTGTCAGTGTGACTTACTCCTGATCCAATGAGAGACCCACTGGGCTGATTTGTGGTTGTGTGTGTTTGAGTGGAAGGTGGGCGAGTCTGAGCTGACGGAGTGCTCCGCGTACACCACAGTGGTTATTTTCCTGTCATTTCCTGGCTGATGAAAGCCTTGCTCCTCCCATTTATTGCAATATCTCTCCAATATGCTAAGTGATGAGATAATCGAGTGAGACACAGTTATTATGTCAACATTGCATATGCCAGACATTAAGTCTCATCATTTTAGAGTTAGGGGACAGGAACCGAGGCCCCCGTGGGTCTCCGGCAAGCCTAATGATGTGATAATGCGACGGCATGCATAATAGCCAATCGTATCGGAGAAGATTTCTCTTTCCAGAGCCACTGTGGAAAATGCACGTATCCACGTATGTGTTCACACGCCCTCACGTGAACGTACCCGTTATTAGCCATTGTTTGTGTGATAGACCCACCCACCTGGGTGTTAACGAATGTCAAACCAAGTGCACTCATGAAGGAGAGTAAATCATAATTAGAATGATAAAGCACCCTCTAAGCTAGATAATTGAAACTAAATGGGCCAGGGCCTGTCCCCAGTGTTTCCATGCTGATGACTAGAAAACTGCCCTAACGAGCCCGCCCTGTTACACAACTCAGCTCTCCAGCCAGGACCGCACTGAGCTGTGAGATCAGATGCAAATTGTTTTGGTGCAAGTTAGTCACAAGGCATCTTGATGATGTTTCACCTTGTTTGTAATTCACTCTCCGTCATGGGCGTAGTTTGGTAGGGGCAGGGGGGACATGCCCCCCCGCACTGTTTCCAAAGTCAGTTTTTGTCCCCTGCACTTGTTACCATCAAAAACAATAGTGCTCAGCACTGGTTGGGCACTAGGACCAAGCAGAAGACAGCCGCTTGTGCTGAAGCCCGTTTCCCGTCCGTAAGCTCATCTGTTGGCTCTGCTGATGCTTGCTTTTTACTGCCACCGGTGTACTTGAGTTCTGCATTCCTGACCTTTCATAAAAGAGCCTCTAGGCTGTAGTTTAAAACATATTTTACTGTAAAGACCCCCCCCCCCCCCCCCCCCCCCCGTCCTCATGCCGGTTGTGTCCCCCCACTTCTAAAGTCTAAACTATGTCCGTGCTCCACATTAATCCCACCATGATGGAGCTTGCACTTTCTGAATCGCGGGAACTCAAATGAAATGAGTTCCAGATGGGTTTGCAACAGCTTTGTGACTATCTTGAGAGGTGCTATGCCCTGCAAATTCTATGCAAATCTTGAGAACAAGCCTTGGGAACATTTTAAAAACTCTGTTTTTATTTTGTCTCCAACACTCACAGCTCTCTGGCCTTACCTTAAGGATTCTGTTGTCAGACACCAGCCCATCATGTCTGTGCTGTGTCTAATACATACATCCATTACCGTACACCCCTTTCTGGCCACAAGAGGGTCAATATTTCAATCTGAGATGCAGACATTAGTCAGAATTTCCTTTCACAAACAGAAATGCTTCCTCTCTTCTTGCAGCAATTGATTAATCCATAAAAAAGCTCTTTGGCCCCTCCCATCCCTTTCCTCTGAGTAATTACATCACAAGGCATTTCTAAACCACAATCCTCTAAATGTGTCCTAACCTTCAATCCCCATGGGACCTAACATAGGTTCATTTTAACTGTCCAGCAAGCATCATGGGAAGCCCCTAAAGGAGATGGGGATACAACAAATGAAAAGTACACGTGAAACCCAACTGACTTAAAGAAAATACAAGAAGAAGAACTACACCTGTCAGACCGTCCACCCTCCTCCCCTTTGCCACACGTCTTGGTAACACATTAGTATTGGGCCCTGGCTAAATGGTTGACCCCATCATCCGTTCATCCATCTATCCACCCAGATGAATGGTAATGACCACAGAGAAGAAAAGACCCTGATGAATTAAACATTTCCCACCAATGAGAATCTCATTTTCCCTCTTCCAGGTGGCAGTGAAGTGACTTTTTTCTGCGAGCGGAGGTGCTTTATCATTGTGCAGCTCAGGTGCAGAGGAGGTCAATGACACTCTTCTAATATATTCCATCTTAGGATAAATCAGATGCATTTTGCTGTGACCCACCAGTCTCAGGGTCGATCTGCAACTGCCCCTGCAATCTATTTGACTGCCAGATTCAGGCTGCCTCTCTGGGAGTGGCACAGCTTCCTAATGGCAGCAACCATTGTAAGCCACGGTCCAATTCCCTAAAGTGTTACCTGGGAATCCCATGTGATGGATCTAGCCCCTGAATCCCTTCTGCTTTACACCTTAACTGTGTATTATTTTGTGTTTTATGTTGAAGCTCGCTCAGAGAACATGAGCTGAATGATATTCTTTCTCTTCCCCTTTTCATGGTTTCTCTTCTCCCCACCTCCTCTCTCCATCGTCTCTGACTTATGTCACATCGTCAGGCCGCCAGTTGACCATCTTCAACAGCCAGGCGTTCATCAAAATTGGTGGTGGAGAGAAGGGGCGCCACTTCCAGGGCCAGATCTCAGGCCTGTACTACAACGGTCTGCAGGTACTCAAACTGGCTTCTGATGGTGACCCCAACATCCAGATCCAGGGAAACCTAAGGCTAGTGGGTGACGTGCCCTCAGTGCTCACCACTGACACCACCTCCACCACCCCTCTGGCTGATATGTCCACCACCATCATGGAGACAACCACCACCATGGCCACAACCACCACTCGCAAACAGCGCTCAACCACCACGAGGGACAGCATCTCACAGGTGAGGAAGCACACTTTCGGGTGAGTTTGTGTCGCTGACTCGGGGAGACAGTCTGGGGCTGGACACTGAGAGCTACTCCGAATAGCTGAAGTCACACCAAAATCAAAAAGTGCTGAAAACAGCAGGAAGGTTAAGGGTGCATCAATACAAACCAGATGGCCCTGCTTGGAGGAGTAGAGACAAATTTCAAAAGCAATAATTCGTCATCGGCTGGGTGAAAACAGCCACATCCTGCAGCTCCGTGTTGCACGTCAGTCTCCAGTTTATTAGCTCTCGGCCAGAAAAGGGAGTTACAGAACAGCTTCGAGTGGCAGATCCTATTAACTGTCTTATTTTATTGCAAAAAATATTTGCAATAAGAAAATTACAGCAGTGAGGACTAAAAACTAAAAACAAAGGAGAAGCACAAAATATCACCAGAAGGAAGTCCTGCAACAATCCAGGTTACTGTAAACTAATATTTACAGCTCAGCTACATGTGTGTCCGACGCTTTCAGATAATTATCCACATGTGCCGGACATGAGCAACAATTAGTGAACAGCAGGGCAGTGCGTGGTGATGCAGGAGGCTGACTCACCCAGGCCCTATAGTCTCATGAGAAGACTTAATGACAGCATCCATTTGTTCCAGGGAGAAATATGTTCCCCTTCACATCCACCATCATTAACTACAAACGGTGTACTACGCCAGCGGGAGTGTGGTCCGGGTTACCTCTGGAGGCACCACAACTTTCTCTTCCGAGGTTGTGAAGAATGTGCATCGGGCTGCTCCATGAATATTGCAGCATGAGTTATGACAAAGCCATGTTTTCATTACTCTTCCTCTTTTGTGTCATCACTGCGATCTCCACGTGGTTCAGCGTCTGAGCCACTATCATTTATCTCTGATGGCCAGAGACAGTTTCTGCATGTAGTTTGGTGATTTATTGCCCGTTTTAGACTGCTGCGTAGCGCTTAATGCTTTCCCTCCCAGGTGAAAGATTTTATCCTTAAATACTCTCAGCTGAAACCTTCCATGATGCCATGGAAAACACGATGCAGAAGCCAGTTTAGAGCACTAACGGTTAACATTTTCTGTGTTCATCGGCATTCATGTTTACACCAGACACCCACAATCTGCCAGTGTGATTCAGAGATCTAGAAATCATAGGTCTGTAAATGGTTCCTACCTTTTCTGAGTTCTACTGCAGGAATTTGGACCTAAACAGATTGGCAGGGTAGAGATGGACCCCAGAAAAGACTCTTGTAGGGAGGCAGTACACTTGCAATCAGCTGAATCCAGTGAGGATGTCCGGAGCAGTCCACCGTTTTGAGAATTCTCAATGATCTCCAGTTAAAAATGTGCACAAGATAAATGTGTGTGGAGCCGCCATGCGACAGTCTGCAATACTCTAACTGCTGAAAATCTAGTCCACCGTGTGGAGGCACCCTTAGGAAGTGGTGTGTTGCTGAAATTGACACTGAAATAAAATAAAGATTGTGTTTGTTTTATGGTTCTCAGTCTGTAAAAACCTTGAAATGACGTTCTTGCATTCTTTGGACAACAGTTATCATAGCTCCGCCTCTAACCTACAGCAGACCTACGCTGTTTAGCTGCCAGGTTCTTCTTCTGTTGTTTAAAGGCAGCAGACAAACCAGCCTAGCCCCTACTTCACACTGGAAGCGTCAGCGGCGCGGAAAGTCACTACAATCTATTACAGCGCTTACATGTTAGCGTCGGCACAGTCGGGATTTGGTGGGGCTGGATGGCGCGAGTCCGGTCTCGAACGGTCGGTGTAGTGTTCACATATAAATCCGAGGACTCAGAAATGCGGGAATTCCCGAGCCTGCGAGCAACGTTTAATACGCGCGGGAAAGTCTGCGGTGTCCTCCATTATCAGGTTAACAAAGGCGGGCATGAGCTGTGTTGCTTTTGGAGACTCGAAACACATGATTTCATTAATTTGCTGTGTGTGTCACACACACACACACACACACACACACACACACACACACACACACACACACACCCACATGGGCTGGACATGCCACCACCTGCATGGCTTTCACACACACACACACACACACACACACACTGATTTCTCCCCTGAGCAGCTGTCTGCTCACCAGGGCAAGAGCTCCGATGCGGAGAACAGATATTCTCTGCTCCCGTTCCCACGCTGATCGGCAGCTCCGTGCTACAGACAGATGTTTACTCAACAGCATCCAACATGAAAATGAGGGAACCCCCTCTGGCTCATTCTTCTAGCAGATCAGAGGCAGTAGGCATCATTTCAGCCGGCCAATCAGTGTGTAGTGTCGCCTCTCTTCCAGTCTGACCGCTGGGGAGAAGGTCTGAAAAAGAGTCGCCTCGACACCGAAAACGCAGATCTGACCTATGTGTGAAACCAAATTCCATAATAACATCCGAAACTTGTGTAGCGCCATTAGTCTCTGGGGGTGAGTCAAACCAACCGCACGTGGCAATTTTCTGAGGCGGCTCGCCAGACCGAGCAGCTAAGGATTGGGCCAGGTTCTATTTTTGCCGCGAGCCGCTTCTGGGACACGGCAATTACCCCAGTTAACATAGGGCCAGACAGGAAATCACACTGTTTCAGTGTAAAACCCCGGTAATTTTCAGCATAAAAGATATTCCAGAGATGCTATTTCATATATACTGTAAATCCTCTAATACAGGCCCGGGCCTGTATTTGACTCAAGCTCATCAAGCTCCAGGCCTTTATTGGAAGGAGGGCCAGTATTAGAGGCAGGCCTCTATTTCTATTTGAGCAAAATGAACTAATGGTTCGCTGGAGTTTATGACAATTAAAATTGCGCCCACATTTTCAAAGTTAAACACATTTCTTGTAACAACGGTAGTTTCTGCTTCAGCCCTCTCCCCCCTCCCCCTGCTTCAGCCCTCTCCCCCCTCCCCCTGCTTCAGCCCTCTCCCCCCTCCCCCTGCGCAGCGGCCGCAAACTCACTGATGCGCCTGCAGCCTCTCGGAGTTCCTGCTGCTCTAAACATTAAAATATTTCATTTTCTGTTCCTCACTTCTGATTACCTTCAATGGTGTCTGTTTGTTGCAACCAGCAGGTACAAAAACTAACTTGTTTTTATTTGACTATTTTTCTGTCCTGCCTGTTTATTATCTTCCTGCATCTCCTCTCAATCCTAAAGAGAAACTGCTACCTGGGTTCATATATATTCACCTCATGAGTTACCATTGAACTGCAGTTCTAAAAGATCTACCGACCGCTAAAACAGCGGAGTGCTCGCTGCTCGCCGGCCGCATCAGTGATCGGTGCGTCACCGGAGGACAAGGTGATGCGCCCCGCTCCACAGCGAAACGCATCAGGCGCAAATAAAAGACAGAAAACATCAAAGGAAATGAACCAACATGAACGATCGCGTGTCAGTACCGACGCTCTGGCACAGCGCGTCCCCCCCGAACGCAGGAGCTTGTCACCTGCTGACAGCAGGCTGCTGTCTTTTCCGAGGGCTGCATCTTGCCGGTCATTATCACGTGACAGCGACTAGTCGATGACAGGCATAACAAGTCACTATAGTGAAGTCGACTAGTTCATACAACCCCTGCTACTGCTCCCCAGAGTGTTCTGCAGCATAATCAGCACGTTCTCTTTGAACTTGATATCAAATTTTCGCCTCCTCTTCGTCTCCGCACAGTTAAAGTTACCCTCGCGGTCTATCACTGGCAAATCAAAAGTGAGACGATGACACAACCGCCCCCGTACTTGCCTGTTACCACATTCCACCTGGCCACAATAAGAGACCGGCCATTATTCACCTCCGCCGACTCCGACACCGGCCAAAATGTGGTACCCGGCCGTTAATTGAATACAGGCCTGTATTAGAGGATTTACGGTATGACGATGACATCAATACATGCGACCTAACGGCTTATTTACTTCCAGCATCGTTCCTGAACTACAGCCATGTGTTAGTCATGGCTTTTTTCCTGGCAGTGGAGCGGAACAACATGTATGACATCAACCGTGATTCCATTCAGTTTGATTTAATGGCGGATGGCATAAACTCGAGGGATTTTGTGGAGTCCAGCGAGAAGCACGGCAGAGGAAGTGGCGAGGAAAGTGTTCCACTGCCGGTCTGCTCTGCTGATGTGAAGTTGTGGTAATGGAGCGTCTGCTGCCACCTGCTGCAGAAGTCTGTCGCACGCCCACTTCAATGATGACATCATCATAACCAGAAAAACACAAAGAAGCAGTTTTCATTTCTTCTAAAACGTTCTTCATAAAGTCAACAAGGTCCAACAGGCATTCCCTTGAAAACATTTCTTTGCTGTAATTTTATTTATGTATTCAGAACCTATTCATTTACCTGGAGAGGGCGGGGCTTGCACCTGCTCTTCCACAGGAGCCACGAACACAGCTTTAGCGGTAACAAAGGGATTACCGTGTATTTTCTTTCCCTTTAACTTTGTTCTCAAATATTTGATATTTTATAAATCCTCATCAGCTTTACTTTGCAGTTACAGCAAGGTAACTCTCTGCAGCAGAGCCTTTATACCTCTGCTGCTACAAACATCCCATAATCTGGAACCAGTGTTGGTTTAAAGGTGTCTTCAGTAACATGAGCCTCGGTGATATTTTGGAGGTTGTGACCCAACTCAGACTAGCTGTTAGCTCATCAATTATGATTCGTTAAACACTTTCAAAGTGATTTCAGGTTTCTGGAGTCTCGCTATGATTGGATGAAGGTCAGACCTGACGGCTGTCGTCTGGGGTAAAGATGTTGGGAGTTGGATTTGAGGATTTTATCATCGACTCGAACTTTTCCCGTAGGCAGTCTCTGGAATAAACACTGCGGGCCAATTAAACTGACAGGCCAGTGGCACCTGCTTTGTTTATCACCTAATGAACATCTATAAATGTATCGAGCTCTTGCTCAGAGGCTTCCAGCTGAAAGAGCCTCAACCTTGCAACTGCAGAAGGAGTGTGTCAGAACGCATTTTCCAGTGGGCTCATTTAGGCAGCCTGTGG